TTAAGGAAAAGCATTCAGATTATAATCCCGCTACTCTAGCTAACTTGGGAAAGTGTGGGGGGAACGTTCCCATGATCCTTACCTTCCAGCGATCTTTTATTCTTACGCTGTGAAGTAACTGAGGAACTAGAACACTGCAATGCCTTTGGAGTCTTAAAGTATGGGTTTTAAAGGCAAACTTCGCCCATTCCAACTCTAACTCATCTGTAAATAAATATCTTCCCAGCAGAATTGTTATAAAGACTAAGAAAAAAGAAATAGCTAGCAGAGGAGCTAGAACATAGCTTAGAAAACTGACACTATTACAATACATACTTACATCAGAATAAAATTAGCCATTTTTTTTGCTAAAATATGCCTTTAAATTATAGCATGTAGAAATTGTATTTCTACTTGGCAAATGAGGAAACTGGGCTTCAGGAAGGTTATACATTAGATCCAAACTTACAAAGCCACTTGGTGTCAGATGAAGTCTGCCCAGGACCAAATTCTCCTCTCACTATCAAATTCAGACAGGTGTCTGATCCTGCAGACCTCAGGAAGAGAAAGGCTGCTAAACTCAGCCTACCTGAGGGCATCTTCCAAACCCTGTCCTTGCTGGAATTTTTTATGCTGACCTTTTGTGCCCAAACTTGCTGCGAGATACTCTTTTTCGTATTCTCTGTTGTTTTTATTGACTGGAATAGAAGGGAACTAGAATAAGCACACTACTGTGTCACTTACCTGAGTAACTTGAAGATGCTATAACATTGATCATCTAACAAGGAGTAATGTGAATTTGTGCAGTCCATGCACAAAGCTCTCGAGTGTGCTCTGAGCTCATCCCTCAGCCTCTACTTCCTTCCAAATACTGCTTTCACATACCATGTACGTCCATTTATCCTAAATCCCCTCCTAAAGAGTCTCTCAATTCCCTGAGTGATTTGCTGCCAAAGTAAAGCGTGTACCCTAGTTTAAAAAGTCCATGCATCTTAGAGCTAGTGACAGGGTTATTTTTCTGGATTCTTCCTCACATCCTACCAGTTAATCGACAGGTCATGTTTCCTGACCATCTACAATTCCACTCCAGTTTGGGGAGTTTGTCCTCAGTTTAAAATATGGAATAATGTCCTACATGATGCCAACCATGTACTTCACTCATCCCAAAGCTGTAGACTATGTACCACTAGAGTTAAACTAGTAGAGAATTAGCTTGTGATGTGTAAGTTATACTACTGTTTTTTTTTTACAGTTTCCTTTTTACAAAAACCAATGGAGAAGAAATTCATGTGGAATCCGATATAAGCTGTCTTTGCCTGAAGCTGTCAAATAATCACTTGAACAAAATTAATTGGTTCACTTAAAAAAAAAAAGCACATAATCTAGCACCCAATTTCTCCCAGCCTCCAAACTTGGAGGATGAGTCATTCAAAACAAAACAAAAATAAAACCCATGTTATCTTGAAACTCTGTCTTCCCCTAAGTCTAGGATTAATGAACACCACACAGTAAATAGTTTAAGCTTTGCAAGCCACAGTATCTTAGTGACAACTACTTAATTCTGCCACTGCAATGCAAAAGCAGTCATAGACAAAATGTAAACAAATAGAATTGGCTCAGTTCCAATAAAACTTTATTTATGGACAGTGAAATTTGAATTTCAAATAAGTACAATATATTTCAGAATATTGCTCTTCTTTTGATTTTCTTTCAATCTTTTGAAAGGTAAAATGATCCATTGCATGTGAGCTGAACAAAAACAGGAAAGGGACTGGATGTGGCCCAACAGTTGTCCAACCTTTGTTCAAAGTCAACACATACATTAGATGACTCCCAATCAGGAAAACCCACCAGTTGAAGAACAGGGCCTTCTTCCCATCTCTTAATGGGGCACTTGATTCCTGGGGCCACCCCCACCCCCATGAACTTCTTCAAGAGGGTCTCCTTTCATTAATAAGTGATACAGAAGATGCGATTTCAAGGTTAGATGTTAGTCTGTTACTTACAAAATGCCATCTTCATACTTTCCCTATTCATACTATTGATCACGCACTTCCTACTGGTACAAAATAAATTCTGCAAGTCTATGCCACTAAACTTTTCCATACAAATGACTGGGTAAGTTTCCATTTCCTAATGTCTAGCTTCAGTTTTTGTTTACTGTCTAGCTGCAAAGAACAGGGAAGTACAGGGTAATGTTAGTACTCTAATCCAATAGAGATCAAAGAATGTTTTTATCGTCTATCAAGTAATTGCAGTTCATTGTTGATAATTTTACTCATTTGTTGCTAGAAAGTATCAGTACTAGGTACACAGATAGGTAGGTTTCAAGGTACATCCACTCCCTACAAACGATTAAAGTTTATCCTTCTTTATGACATAGTAGTACTCCTTTGTGTATAAATACCACATTTTCGTTTAAGTAAAATAAACCAGACACACAAGATTAAATATTGTATGGTTTCTCTTATATGACAAAAATTGTGTGTGTGTGGGTGGGTGGGGTTTGTTTTTTGGTACCAGGGATTGAACTCAAGACCTTGCACTTGTGAGGCAGGTGGTGGCACCACTGAGCTAAATCCCTGGCCACAAAATATATTTATAAAGAGCAAAATAAAAGATAATAGGAAGTATGGAGATGGATCTTTTGCAAATGAGAAAGAGATCAAGAGTAGACAAAGGGGCTGGGCGTGGTGGCGCATGCCTGTAATCCCACTAGGGAAGGCTGAGGCAGGAGGATCGCTGTGAGTTCGAGACCAGCCTAAACTACATAGTGAGTTCCAGGTCAGCCTCAGCTACATAGTGAGACCCTGTCTCAAAAAAACCAAAAAGGAATTCAAAAGAGATATGAGATTACTATAATCATAAGGTAATGCAAACATATACTAATAAAAATAAGCACTCAAAAGAGTGGGGAAGGAAGAAGATACACAGTGTAAAGCAAGAGTCTAAGAATTAAAAGGTGTTGTTGTATACTCCCATGACAGTGTTATAAAATAGTCCTGTGCTTTGAAAATCAGCCCTTTGCCTTTCTTTTCTACTCCCTCCATTTTTTCAGTCACAGAAATACTTCTTGGTAAATCACATATTCAAATAAGTGATTTCATCTCTCTTTCCAGGAAAATCCTCACAGGGCACTGTGCTTTTTGGGTGAGAATGACCAGCCTAAGAAAGCCAGCCACAGAAACTGAAGTCCATTGCACTGTTCGGTTTTGAGATTATCCTTATGTCACAAATTCCACAGCTTTATTCTGGGGTATTTCAACTGGCAGGAAGTATATTTGGAAACAATGTACGGCATTCGAGAAAGTGGCACCTGATCATAAACACTTACTGTCTTTACAAGGTAGCAAATTTTGGTACACCCAAAACTGTGAGCAGCTACGCCTGACTGTGGTGGTGACTCAGGAAAAAGAGCTAGCACAAGGAACTTTTCAAGACTGCCCCCCACACAAAAAATCCCAACAACATACGAAGACCTTGCTATCTCAATGGCCAGACACAAATGTGCTCATTTTCAAAGCTGAAAATACCCAACTCCAAAAGCAACATTTCACTTTTTAAGTAGAGCTTGTTGCATTCTTTTGTATGAATCTCAAAAGTTTATACATGTGTCAAGATGACCTTGGTTTTGAAAGAACTGCAAAGTTGTAATGGGGGAGAGGAAAGCATAGCCTCTATGTTTTGGCAACAAAACAAGCCAATTTCTAAAGGTTTCTTCATGCTCCAAAATGTCAAAGTAGAGTGACCAACAGTCCTGGTTTTCCCAGAACTGCAAGAGGGCTCCTGGATGCAAGGTTTCTGTTTTTTTAAACCAAGACAGGTTTATTGGGTATTGTGGGGAGTTAAATCTCCTTAGAAAGTCTTTTCTAGCCCACGCATCTGGATTTTAAATGCAACAAATCAGCCAAACCACTTAGCATGAGGATGGACATAGTCCTACACTAAAGAATTAATGTTATTCCTAGTGGTTTTATTGAAAATGACTACACCTACCAACTACCCACAATAAACATAACCATTACATACTGCAAACATATACTAATACCAATTTAAAATTTGAAAGAAAAGAAAATGACTATATCATGGCTCAAAATGACTATACCATAGCAAATGTCAAGGAGAGAGACGAAGACTCTGATTAGCACCTACCACCTAGAATCTCAAAATTCTGTCAACCAAATGCATCTTTTGGAGCCATCCCTAGGCCCCCAAAGTTTCTTGAAAATAAAAGCTTTCTACACTAAGGCAGTCCTTTGTTATCACAGCTGAGTGTCACACATCTCCAAGAACAGAGGTTGCTGAAGCTCCCAAAATAAATTCAGTGAAACATGGACCCATTCACTCCTGACAAACACCACCAGCCACCTCAGTCAGCTCTACATATCCCCAGCTGACTTTTAGGAGGACAATGACAACCAAGTTCTTCCAATATGCAGCCTTCGAAATCCATGATTCAGGCTGATTGCTTGCCCCATTGCCTGTTCCAGTTCCATCCAAAGATCATTAGGGCTTTCGGGACATTGATCTTTCAGCCCTGTAAGAGCCTCAGTTAGTAGGAAGGCCAGGCTTTCTGGGTCAGATGAGCGATTCATCTTAGAAAGACTGACAGTAACAATGATTGAAACCAAAAGGAAGTTTTAACAGCACTTGACTGCTCTGACTGACCAGTTTTTCAACATCCCACTCCTGACTATGAGAACGGATACAGATGTCAAAAATTGTTTAAAACTTCAAACTTCTGTTAAGAGCTTAGCCGAACTATCCAACTGGCTGCTTTAAAATAAATACGAATACTCTTGAATTATAATTCTAGTAGCTATTGGAGGTGAGAAAATATAACAATCAATTTGATATTATACCAGCGTTATGCCAGAGGCATTTCTTTTGGAGGCCGTAAGTATTCCACTGAGAAGACTGACAGTTCAGAAGTAAACAGGTGATGTGTAAACAGACTTTCAAATGTCGGAGATAAAAGAGCAAAAACCGAAACCAAGAGCCTACATGACAGGGATTCCTACCTTCTTTTTGGAGTGGCTTCTTTCTTCCTCCTTTGTAGCTTTGCTATTTTTTCCAGCTCGGGACACCTTCTGATCCCCAGATTGCTTGATGGTGATCTTGATCTCAGGTGGGCAGATATAGTTCTCCAGATTCTTCGGGGGTTTCTTTGCCCTCTTTGTGGTCTGAATCTTCAGCTTCAGACTCCCCTCAGTGAAGTTGGCCTCCTTGATGGAAAACTCCTGCTCTTCCAAGCCATCGCCTGCCACCCATTTCTCACTGTCTGCATTGGAGTTGGAATCCACATCCCTTCCTGAGCCCAGTTCATCCTCCTCCTCTGGCTCCATGCGTTCTCCACCCACTGGGATGCTCTTCCCAGGTCCTGGACTGGACAGCAAAGGTTCTCCTGTACAGCCAGGAGCAGCTGGGGGCTTGGCTAAGGAGACCGGCAGGAATTCCGACTCACTCCCTCTTTGCCGGGAGCTGCTCAAGATTTCTCTGGACTCCATGACAATCCTACAGTCTTTAGGAGTTCTCAGGAGGGGGAAGGGAGACAGGCAAAAGGAAAGCAAGAAGACGGGACACCGAAAATTCCAAGAACAAACTAGTCCAGCTTCTGGGTTCAGAGAACCAGGGATGGAGACACGGTGAGGTGTTCAGAAGAGATCAGATCTGCAACTGAGAAGCAAAGAGATAATTAACTGTGGCAGGAAGGAGCATGACCCTAAAAGTTAGTTGATCTAAGTTCCAGAACTTCCTTTTCACTTATCTGTAACATCAGGAAAAAATGATGGAAAGAAATTCAACCAGCATGGGCACATCCCCAAATTGTATCACACTGGAATAGAGGGGGAAACAGACTGACACATGCCTTCATAATGGGTTGTTATACATTTTTATGACTGCAAGCCCCAAAATAAAGATAAGAGGGGCGAGTCATTCAGCTAGTAACGAGATCGAGGCTTCTTACATTGAAGCCACAGCTGGCTGAGTCACCAGCAAAACCAGCCATGACGAAAGGGAAGTCTCAAGTACTAATGCTCCGGTCTGTGGGAACCACAACTGAGTGGCTCCTTGCAGCACTTCCCTCACCCATGTGAAGAACAGTTTGCAGCACTGGTCAAAACCCCCAGCTGCCTAGGCCAAGCTTCCACTCCTTAGAGGAAGGGTACTTGTTTAGTGGACTTCTTAACTGTTCTTTCTATCTCACTTTTATTGTGCATTGTTGCAATTATGCAAAGTCTTCTCTCTGTTTCTTAAAACAAATGCAAAGCTCAAAGAAAGAAAACAAAAAGATCTCAATGGGAAATCTCATATAACACTATGATTAATGCAGAACAAACTCGAAAACATATTTCCATCAGAACTGAGAAAGATAATCATTTTCAATTATTCAGATAAAAATAGCCATTCTGGACAATTTTAATTCCTTTCTCATTCCTTACATGAAATGACATTGTGTGTAAATAGCACAGAGGGAGAGAGGGAGGGAGAGAGGGAGAGAGAGAGAGAGAGAGAGAGAGAGAGAGAGAGAGAGAGAGAGAGAGAGAATGCTACCGGCCCTTGGAGATGTCAGGAATCCCCCAAGATCTTCATCTCTGATTTTCTCAAAAGCAGAAGAGAAAAATCAGGTTCTCTCCAAACCATTAGAGGACCAGCTTCTCTGTTATACCCCTTACTAACCCCATGTCCCATTATTTCCAGTTTCTGACTCATCGTTTCAAAGTCCAAAAGGACACCACTCTTAAGAGAGAGCCTACAGCACTACAGCACTAGGGCTGCACAGAACTGGAGACATCATGTCCTCCCACCCTCTGCTACATGTCTTGTCCCTCCCAGGCTTGCCTCAACCCCTGAGCGCTCTCCATTTCTAGCAGAAGACACTGCTATACAGCTGAGGTGTCTACTTCTAAGAGCAAATGTGCCCCCAGAGAGTCCCCAAAGATGCCTTAAAAGACACATGAAAAATAGTGAAGACCTGGTACCCTGAAGTCTTCTCCCTCTGGAATCAGCACATTCTCAGCTGACATCCTGTGAAGAGGCCAGAGAGGAAGGCGGCTGAGGGCACGGGGCCTTTCTTTCCAGAGCCAGCCCAGGAACATGCACTGCTCTTGGAAACTGCTCAGCCCTGCAAAAGGCACATTTATAGCTGCTTCCACTTAGGGGAAAATCCAAAGAATACAATTTTTTCTGGAAGAGATGAGGGTGTCCCAGTGGGAGACACCTTTGCTGATGCTTTCAGCAAACCCTGAACCTGTGGGTAAACCTTTGCCTGTGGGTAAAGCACTCTCTGGGTGGTAGATGGACCAGATGACAGTGCTGCTTATTTTATTTATTACAATCTTTGCTTCATCAAGATTGATCTGACTACATGCCCAAAACATTTTAATTTTTAAGAAATCATATAGGTCTTTTTTTACTACTGACAAGTACTACAATAGCTTCTGGTGATATCAAGGTACCTTAGAACATGTTCCTGCTTCCCAAGAGGGTAGAGAGTCCAACATGTCCTTCTCAGTCTGCACACTGGAGCCACACAAATTGCAAACCATATTTTCTAAGGGTAGTAAAGTTCAAGGTTATGCCCTTTGGTGGGAATAACTGATATTATACTATAATTACCTACTCCCTACCTATAAAGTTATCCTGCAATCAGTGCAAAGGTGAGGTATAGATTGTTAAGAAATTCCTTACTTAAATCCATTTGAGCCTTCAAACCAGAGTAGGGCAATGCATGCGGTAGATATTGTATTGAAACAAAGAACTGAAATTGCAGTTGAATGGATGGGAGTATGAAGTGAAGGTATTATTAATATTAAGAGACTATCTTCATTTAAAAAGTGATTTATTTCAGAGATTCTTATATTTAATGATATAAATCATTAATTAGATGTAGAAATTTCCAAAATCTAAAACTTAAGTAGTAAGAAATCCAGAAAAAAATTAAGTTCAATTTTTTTCTTTTTTTTCAGTTCTCAAGTCAGAGAACTTTAGTTCTAATGCACAATGAAGACACTCTTGAAGTGAGACTTGAAAAACAACTCTCATCAGAACAGAATTTATATGTACTATAATAAAGGACAGAAGCACAAGGAGAAGAAAGTGTTTTCTACATGCACAGGATACAAGTTGATAGGATACAACATAGGCAGATTTGAAGGAAAGCACAAGATCTGGTTTTGATCTTGAACTCTTCGTGGGTAGCGTGAAAAGGACAAAGACAGGACAGACAGAAGGAAGAGCACACAGCAAGGTATAACTCAGGAGCACCAGGATTATGATAAGGAAACAGAAAGTTGATGTGGCTAAGGGGTGTAGTGTAAAACTGCTGAGACTTAAGGCAACAAATACAAGGTTACAGCCAGATCATGGACATCACTGAATGGCACACTTGTGAGACTGAATTTTATCTAATAGATCATGGGAAGCCATTGTAGGGTGGTCTGTAGGGAAAGGACACCATCTTGCTTTAAGAAGATGATCCAACTCTCACATCATATGCAGACATCAAAGGCAGGGAGGACATAAGAAAATCTGGCCTCCTGCTGTACTTTGACTCCAGTTGCTTGAGGACCTGAACCAGGACAGTGGGAGATTTTTTTATAATGTGTACTACGGATAAAACAGTAATGCAGTTTCAAACAGCCCCTATCTTTTAGAAACACCTCCATCCCAAGCCTTCCATATTGGTCTCATCTTAAGAGTCCAGGTTCCCAGCTCATTAGCCATCAATTCACCCTGTCTACTCATGTCAAACCTGTCTCCATGACAGCATTACATATACAGATTTCTCTCTACATTAATATTTTTCTAGACTCAGTTCTTACAGCCCCTTCCACTGATCTGTGCAATGCCTGGCATATAACTGGTACTCTTAAATGTTTGTCGAATGAAGGAATGAATGAGCAACAGATCCCAAGGCGTCCCATACCTAGGTCATGCCCAAGTCTTCATTTCTCCATGGCAACATTTTGCAAACTCCAGGCCACAGTACTCAGTCACTCCCTACTCTGACTTACACTGCACCCAGCCATACAGTTTGCCACTAAATACTAGTCCTGCACTGTTTGCTGCTTGCTCTGAGCACACAAATCTTGTTTTCATAACTTAACTTCAATTCCTTCTCGGGCTGAGGTCAGCTGCATTGTATAATGCCTACATTCACTTCAGCAGCCAGCATAGGTTTGGGCACTTAGCTGGTTTCAAGAAGTTCTCTCCGGATGAAAATGAATTCACTCCCTGACGAACTACTCCATCCCTAGCTCTGTCCACCAAGGCAGCCCCTGCCAAATTCCCTGCCTGTCCTGAGAATAATAACCCAGATTCTGGTGTCCAAATGAGCCCCTCACCTTCCAAAAATAAAATAAATAAGCTTTTAAAAGCAAAGAAACCTAACCTGTCTGTTTACTTCCCTGGCACACAAGGCTGTTGTTCTCCTTCAGCCTTGTCCCCAGCAAGTACCTGCCACCCTAACTTTACAGTTCAACTTTTGGTGAGTCTGAGAGACAACTGCCGGTCCTCTTGAGAAGCAACCATGTCGGCACACACATGTGAACACATGCACACACTCACATACTCACAGAACTGGGGAAGCCAGGCAAGGTGAAAACGCTTTGCCTTGTCACATTCCAGCAGTGTGAGACTCCTCCTGAGGGGGCAGCACACAATGGACACTCTGTACTTGGCGAAGGCCTCCAGTCGGAGAAAAGTTAACCCTATCGTGGCTGCCTGCAGGGATAAGGTGGGGGGACTGGAACAATAAATCTGCTTAGGAAATAATTTCTCAGCATCCCCAAGGAAGCAAGGTTGAGGGAGAATGGGACCTTGGAAAGAATACTGGGACACCAGCATACAAACTTGTTCTCTACACCTGGCTCTGCCATTCACAAGCAGTGAGATGCTACACAAGCCACTCTGAACTCAGAGTTCCTAATCACACACTTTACCCAACAATAAAGGGAGGAGGGCAGATTCATTGTCTCCTCCATATTTGACACTCTTGTGGCTTTATTCTGCTCATCACAGACCTATAGGAACACTGCACATTGTATTCTCATTGTTGGAGCGTATAGCATTATTTCTCTAAGTGGACAGGGAGAATCTTGTTCTAGATAGTCTTCATATCCAAAGGACTCCCAAAGAATATATCCCTCCAAACTTTGCAAGACGGGAGATGCCTTTTCTAGTTTAAAACACACTCTCCATCTTCTACCTGGGGAACTATTACTTATCCTGGAGCTTGATGGAAAACAAATTCTCAATACCTATTTGTGGAATCAAGGCTCAGTGAGGTTAGTAGGGTAAGCACTCTAGCTTTTCAGGTTCTTCCTGGTGCTTCTGAAGAGCTAGAAGTTGACAACTAGTGTGTTATCCATTATCTGGTCAGTGGGCTTATCACTACCTTTGATCAACTATTCTCTAAGAAAAGTATTTGCCATTTACAGTAGTTCTGAGTCTCCTGAGAATAGGACTCAGTTGCATTTTATCCATCCGTGACACTCCAGGGCTCAGCACAGCTTCCAACACATAGCAGGTGCTCCAGAAATGCTGGCTGACTGAATTAATAGATGAAAAACGCAACTCCAGCTGGGCTTCCAGAATCATCCACCTCCCTTGTATGCTTGGCTCTTGGGACACCATCCACGCGCAGTCCACTGTCACCCTGACTATTGTCTTCT